TTTTTTTTTTTTTTTCGTTATTTTGGACAAAATGTCGGTCCGTGATGTAAAAATTGAGCGAGGAACCTTGGTGGCATTGGGAGCTTTGCAGAAGGTGCAGTTTGGATTTTGCTTTTCCCAGGGTGGCAGCTCGGTCTTGGCCGGATGAATCTTCACTGCTGGCGGTGGAAACAACTAGAGCAGCTTGTTAGTTGATTTTTTAATTTCTAAGTGTTGTGTTTAAAGGCTTTACGTGCACAGAGGAGAAATCGCCACCTTAAATAAACATATGGACGATTAACAGGGTGTGTTTTCCTCCCGGAAAGCGAATTTGGTAGCTTTGACCAATGTCAGTGTGTAAATATTTAGACGTTATTAGTGACTTTTTAGCATTTTCCAGAGAGATCTGTTATTTACAGTGTGTCATATGTTATTAATGCTCGTTGCCTAAGTTCCCTGGCAAATCTGTTTCATGCCTTTTGAGAAAGTAGACAATTGATAGATTGTCCAAGAGATGGAAAAAAATGTGAGTGGGTTTTTCTAACTTGAGTTCGGTAAATCCCTGAACGCTGGCGTTGTGAGAGATATCACCTCCCCTATAACCTTGTACAATAAGTGTGAATACTTCTGAAGCTTTTTCATTTAAATACAATTTTAAGTGAATATTAAGAGAAGAAAATGCTGTTATTTCTTAGATTTAACATTTTCTCCTTCAACCCCCATTCTCTTTAAAAGTTTTCCAAGAGGTAGCTTCACCAAGATGTCAAGTGATAGGCAAAGGTCCGATGATGAGAGCCCCAGCACCAGCAGTGGCAGTTCAGATGCGGACCAGCGAGACCCAGCCGCTCCAGAGCCTGAAGAACAAGAAGAAAGAAAGCCTTCTGCCACCCAACAGAAGAAAAACACCAAACTCTCTAGCAAAACCACTGCTAAGTTATCCACTAGTGCTAAAAGGTAATGTGTAAAAAGAAGGATTGAGCACGATTGTTAGGTTGTCTTCCAAACGGTTGGATGATTTTGTTGGTTTTACATCAGTAGCAACAGTTCAGAAATTTTTCCTTCATGATCAGTTTTGTTTGTGCTCAAATGAGTTGTCATTCTTTAGGTGATAGATCAGTGACCTCACTAGAATTATGCTTTTAAGCAAACTTACTCTGAACTTTGATAACTTCAAAAGGAGTGTCCTTGGGTAGAGATGAAACTAGCATTCTGACAGATTGTTTAAGGAGTTGGCAAGGAAAATTCGGTGAACCCAAATTAGATGGTACATTGGATGTTTCCTTTTATGAGTCATAGTCTTCTATAATGATATTCACACTTCTAGAGATTAGCAGTGCTTCTCTTCATGAAACTTAATGATCAGGAACGATCACTTTGCTAGAAAATTTGTAAATTTTGGGCCTTAGCTGTATTTGAAAGCAAATGTAAAATTGTACCTCAAGTTTGCCTCCAGTTTTACAAACGAGACTTTAAATCATGCATCATAGGTGTGACTTTTTGTAGTAAAATTATGATTATTCCTCTGTTCTTATGTGGGCAAAAAAAACCCTGAACTCCCTGCCCCCCCGAAATTTTAGATGTCAATTGATGATTGGAAACTTTCATTGTCCTTGTGCCTCCTTCACTATAGAACTTGTGGATGTGCTTAGCACATTAATACTCAACAACAGGAGAAACATTTTTTTAAGTATAAGTAAAAGATCACTTGGTTCCTATTGATTTATATTTTCTCTTATGGCAAAAATAGATTCTATTAATGGGACTCCATCAGTGGTAGTAGTAGTGGAGTATACACAAACTCCGGTAGAATGTATTTACAGCATTAGCCAATATTGACATTTTGTTGATTCTTATTATCACAACTAAAGGAAAAAGAAAATGGAGAAACTGATCAAATATTGCAGTCTGTGGTGATTGAGAAATACTCGTTTCTTTGGATTTTCACCTTTTTTGTATTAGCAATCAAGTATTAATAACAAGAATATTTTATTGAATAATAGTGATCTTTGAAATAATTTAAAATCTTTATCTTAATTTAAGGAGCATGTTAAACATACCTTAAGTTTGGAAAGCATCTTAAATTTGAGTAAAATCAGAGAATGCTCTCTCCCTCTTTAACTCAGGGCTATATATTTTATCCCCTTTCTCCTCAAATTTGTTAAATTTAAGTGCTGTGTCTAAGATCGGGGATCATCAGAAGCAGTTAAATAAGAATGCCAAATAGTCTTTGGAAGTTTTTTAGATATCTGTAAATTTTAAACTTTTTTTTGGACATGTAAAATATTGTCAGAACTATTAGTGTGCTCTTGTGATAGCCTGTTAATTTTTACCTCAGTAAAAGTGACTTGAAGTCATTGTCAAATATTCTCGTTCTTTCCCTCCTCCCTTTTGGTCTCATTTGCATATAAGCTTAAAAAGAGAATTTCTTTGTTAAAAAGTGTTTTAAAATAGATTTCATATCCCTTACTGAGTAGTAGTGAAGTACTATTTCTTAAATCAGGTGTAAACGACTTACTTATTTACAGTAGCAAGTGAGAAAAAAGCTGCAAAGTTTCTGTTAAGGGATTTGGGTTATGCCTCTGAGAACAAAGAGGAAGCAGCCATGTTAGCATTACTGAAGGCAAAGCCAGCCTTGCATTTAACTGCATGGTGGTAGAGGGCAGTGTAATTCCCTGGTTATTCTGTAGACTACCTCAAATCCTTTTTGTCTGTTCTCATTTCACTAACAGAATTCAGAAGGAGCTAGCTGAAATAACTCTTGATCCTCCTCCTAACTGCAGGTAAGAAATAAATTTTATTTTTCTGATTTCAAATTGTGGGAAAATACCAAGAGATTTATGTGTCATTCCTGGGTACGTGTGCAGTAGAAGAGGCTATTTTTGCTTTAAAGCTTTGCAAGTGCATTAGACAAAAATTGTCTGAGGTGAATTAAATAAAATTGGAAGGAAAATACACTTTTTAGTGTATGTCATACATTGTGGATTTATGAATATACTGCTTTTGTGCTTCTTACTGAGATTAGTAGGAATAGTGCTGATTTTTGTTCTGTTGTATTTCTGGTAGAGTGTATTTATACAGAAGTATATTGCAGAAACTTCTAAAATTTTGCTAGGCTTTAAAGTTACTGCTTGTGTGCAATCTGAACTGACCTTCCCAATTTAGAAATTGCTGAATGTGGTGTTACAAAATGTAAATGCAGTAAACAAGAGTATAGTTTCTGTTTGATTTATTCAGTAACTTGTCTGAAGGACAGATTTTATGTGCTGAGCTAATGGTTTCAGTTTTTATCTAGAGTATACATTGTTGGAATTATTTACATTTTAAGCAAATGTTTTAATTGCTTGGGAAAACTCTTAGTAATGTTGGTAGTTGAAATATGTGTGTGGAAAGCAGCAAATGAATTAGAATTGTGGGAATAATTCATTTCAGTGGAACTCAGAATAATTTAAAGAATATTGGTTGGTATAAGATACATTAAAAGTTACTGATTTGATAATTTCTTCCCCAGTAATTGTTTTCATTTCATCTTATATAGTGCCCTGTTTTTTAATAGTGACTGCATGGCTTAACAAAATCTGACAGACTTAGCAACAGTATTGTAGATAGTTTGCATAGAGATCGTGCTCAAGAATGAGAGTGACTCTTAGAAATAAGTTTGATAGGAAGATGTTTTAGTGTCAGGTTTGTTTTTGCTTTAAGTTGTGTTCATTTGTGGTCAGACAATCTCTCTGAAGTCTACTTGAGGTATAATAGGGTATAATCCAATTGCTTCTTATTGTGTGTGTTAACCGGATCCTCTGATAAGGTGATCTGATCCTGATTTATTCAGTGAATGAATGGTTTTGTTTATGTTTATAATCACAACCTTTCAGTTCAAATAGAAAACATGAATGTAAACTAATTTTAAGGACAGTGGTATGTCAGATCTCAAAGTATTCCTTAAGAACTGTGCTGTCTGATAATCTAGCCAGTAGCCACATGTGGCTGTTGTCCATTTCATTTGTGACTAGTGCAAAGTGAGATGTGGTAGAAGTGTAAAATACACATTGGATTTTGAAAATGTAGTACCAAAAAAAGAATGTAAAATTCTTCATTGATTTTTATATGTTTACTACATGTTGAAATGATACTATTTTGGGTATGTTTGGTATTAAAAATTTTACTACAGTTAATTTCACTTATTTGCCATTTCAATGTGGTTATTATAAAATTTAAAATTCCACGTGACTAATATTTCTGTTGAACAGCGCTGCTTTAGAGAACAAGTAAATCAAAGTATTTCTTTCCAGCCTTTTAAATGGTCTGTCAAATCTGTAGCCATTTAGTGAGGTCAAGTTAAATTTGTTTTCTGGAAGAATCACTTAACTTGCAGAGTGTATTCTGATATTTCCCATTATGAAAGATGTAAAGAGCTGTCAGTTCAAAACTGTTAAATGTTTTTAAATTGCATGTAAGGTCAAATATTTTTAAAGGTTTCTGCTGATTTCCTGCAAATGGCACATACTAGTATATGTGCATAAATCTAGAGAGCCCGGAAGACATGTGTTATGTGCCCTCCGAGCAATAACCTAGTGTTGCAGTAGCTGAAGAAATCTGCTTTACTTGTTCAGCTCAGGAATATTTCCTCAAGGTCACTGAGGATTATTTTAGAGGGGGTAGAATCTTTCTGTGAGATAGAAAGTTTCTCTTGTCTTCTATTTTTCTTTTTATATTCCAGATTTTGTTTAAGTCTTTGAAAAGATGTTTTGCATTTAGTGATTGCTCTAGTTAAATAGCAAAACTCGTGGCTTGCATGTGAACAATAACATCTCATCTCTGCTTTCCTTTGTCACAACCTGGATCTTTTAGTTCTCAAGTTCTTTTAATATATGAGTTTTGTTTTGTAGCTGTGTAAGTGATTAAAGAAAAATCAAATGTAATGTAAATCTTACTAGGGGACTGGGAGAAGTTGCTTTTTCTTATTTGGGTGTAGTCTTCTTCCATATATTTCACATGTACAATATCTAGATACTCCTAAATGTTTTCAGATTCTTTAGGGTTGAAGGTCTATTTCTTGTCCTTGAGTGGAAACTTGGGATACTGAGTGGTTAGTGGAGGCATTTTAGGATTTGACAGATAAGAAGCTTGAATTTGTATTGTATTTTTGCCTTCATGTCAGATCAGTGGTAGATTGTGGTCTTTTATTTCACAAGTGCATAAATGAGAATTTAGCTTTATGGTAATTATGGTTTAAATTTATTCTGTAATTAAAAACAAAATTCTATATTCATAAATTCTAGACTATGTGAAATCCTATTGCCTGAAATCTGCGAAACCTAATACATTCGACTTTCCTGTGTGGTTATTTAATCAGAATTCCATTATGGTTTTGAATATGATTTTTATAAGCTTGTCAAAGTATGTGACAGATTTAATTCTTCCTCAGGGAAGAAATGTAAAGTATATCTGTGTACATTCAGGAAAAAGTATGAAATGAAAAGAGTGAAATAGAAGAAAACTCAGCAAAACCCAGAATTACTCAAGACCAGGACGACTTTTCTTAAATTCCTTTCTATGTTTTAATTCCTTAGTTATTACACATTTATATCTAATAAATATCCAGATGATCTTAGGATAGATTTAATTTTAAATTAAGTGAATGGCTTTAAACATGTTTTGATAGTATTGATATTTCTTTTCTTGATAGTATGAAAGTTTGATAAAGATGTCATTGCCAATGATATAATGGTATTTCTGGTATTAGGGTATTGGAGTGTCATGGCCAAAGTGTCCTAAACATAAGGATATAATATTTATTTATTGGTTTCAATTTATACTATTTACATACTATTTTTTAGGTTAAGGTATAAATAATTGATACACCAGTGAGAGTCCAATGAGAGTGAAAGGAAATTGTATTATAGGCATTACCCTCTTATTAGAGAAAATTATTGACTAGAATTGTTAAGTGATGTGTTACTAAGACATTTACATTCCATCTGCTTCCCAAATGGTGTCCTTGACCTCTCATAGTCACCATTTGTGCAAACAGCAAAAGTTTAGCAAGGTACTGGATTTCTACTTTGACCTCTAATTTCAGTTTATATGTAAAAAGGTACAAATAGTCTCTCTTAAAATGTTCGTTAGTATGTTCAAAGAACCTATTCTTTTTTTTTTTTTTTTTTTAAGAGAGAGTCTCACTTTATCGCCCTTGGTCGAGTTCTGTGGTGTCACAGCTTACAGCAACCTCCAGCTCTTGGGCTTAGGAGATTCTCTTGCCTTAGGCTCCTGTAGCTGGAACTACAGGTGCCTGCCACAAAGACCAGCTATTTTTGTTGTTGTTGTTGTTGTTGCAGTTTGGCTGGGGCTGGGTTTGAACCCACCACCCTCCCTATATGGGGCTGGCGCCCTACTCACTGAGCCACAGGCGCTGTCCCCAAATCGGATCTATTCCTAAGTAGATGTTCGAGGGGTATTTGTAAATTGCTTTTGAATGCAGAAAAGGTCACATTGGGGGTATGTATTACAGTATCAAGTTAATAGTATCGGTAACATGTTGACTGGCAAAAATTGAAATCAGGTACTATAATACATGCAAACTTTGTCAGCTTTCTTTAAAAAAAAAAAAAAAATCAAAAAAAGCTGTTAAGTTCTAAGCCAGAAGTTGGCAACCCCTAACCTACTTGTAAGCCTAATTGTCTGAAGATGAGCACTACTTCCTTCCTAGGGTTGCTACCACTTTCCATCATTTTCTAGGGCAGACTAGAACTTTGCTACTTAACAGGTGATCTGCAAACCAGTAACATTTGCATCACAGGAGATATTATTAGAAATGCGGACTCTTGCAATGCGGACTCTTGCCTCTGCCTGACACAGAAGTACTGAGTCAGAATCTGAATTTAACGAGATTCCCAGGTGAATTATATGTATAGTAAGGTTTGAAAAGTGCTGGTATAGGAGCAAAGACTGGGTTCCGATCCATGCTTTGCCACTTAGTGGTAAGTTATGAAATATTTCTGTCCTTCAGTTTTCCCAGCTGTCAAATGGGGATTAAAATGATCACCCTCTTACACTTTTACACTGCTAGTAGGACTGCAAACCAATACAACCTTCTTGGAAGAAAGGATGGAGACTCCTCAAAGAACTGGAACTAGACCTCCCTTTTGATCCTGCAATCCCATTATTACTGGTTATCTACCCAGAAAAAAAAATCATTTTATCATAAGGACATTTGCACTAGACTGTTAATTTCAGCTCAATTTACAATCACCAAACTCTGAAAACAACCTTACATGCCCACCAATCCAGGAATGGATTAACAAGCTGTGGTTTGTGTATATCCTGGAATACTATTCAGCCACTAAAAAAAGATGGAGATTTTACATCTTTCGTATTAAACTAGATGGAAGTGGAACACATTCTTCTTAGTAAAGCATCACAAGAATGGAGAAGCAAGAATCCAGTGTACTCAATTCTGATGTTAGGACTATTGATCTAGTACATGGTCGGGGGTAGGGGAGTGGGGGAAGTGGAGAGAGAGGGCAAGAGGGAAATAATCTTTACTAGGGACATAATTTCATTTTAATCAGTTCACCACCTAATTATTGAATACATGTCAAAAGTTTGTTTTAGTGTTAGTAAAAGCAATTCTTTGGAACTTAAGTAAAAACAAAAGTAGCTTAATAACATTGGGTATGGATGAATAAATACTGCATCCTTTTTAAAGGAATAGGCATAAAGTCAGTTAATAGTTAATTCAATAAAGTATAATAAACAATTTTTAGATAAGAGTGATGGTTAT